GAGACCATATAAGGGTATGCATTATTCATTCTCACATATAAGTAACGCAAGAACCTTTTCTGAACTTTTTCAATTTGATTAATATGAGTTGCTGCTGATGGCATCCATATTCGTAATGCATACTCCAAATGTGGCCTCACCAGAGCATTATAGAGCCTGACAATTACGCTTATCTGGAAATTTCTACTATTTCTGATTACAAACCCCAATGACCTAAAGGCCTTTCTCACAATATGGTTGAAATGGGTATTGAACTTCATGTTAGTCTGAAAATACACTCGCAGGTCCCTAACTTCATTACTACGACTAATTTTTTCTTCACTTATATAATAGTTAACAATAGACACATCAATCTTTCTAGTAAAGGTAACTGCTGTACATTTTTTGCTATTCAACGACATTTTATTCAATTGAAACCAATCAGTCACTCTCCTCAAATCAGACTTTAGTTGCTGGTGATCTTCAGGAGTGTAAATAATCTTAAAGAGTTTAAAATCATCCGCAAACATAAGGCAATATGAGTGTCTGACCACATCTGGCAGCGTGTTGATAAAAATTAGGAACAATAAGGGACCTAAATTGCTACCCTGTGGTACTCTGGATGTGGCTATGTAAGGGTCAGAGACACACTTACCAATTTTCACTCTTTGTTCACGGTCATCTAGATATGATTTCATAAGAAGACATGCATCACCCGATAGACCACAATCAACCAGCCTGCGTAGAAGAATTGAGTGGCTTACCTTATCAAAAGCCTTTTCGCAGTCAGTATAGACTACATCCAGTTGGGCTTTATCATCAAACGCCTTTGCTGAACATTCAGAAAATAATAATAAGTTTGTGACAGTTTTTCCATGCTGCTGTATAGCTATTTGATGACTTACATGAATATATAATTGGTTGAATAAGATCTTTTCGAAAATTTTTGCAGCCACATTAATGAGACTAATGGGGCGATAGTTTCTGACATCATTTGTCAGCCCAGTTTTAAATACTGGCTACACTAAAGCTTTTTTGAATATTGCTGGAAATTCTTTTCGTTTCAATAATAAGTTAAAAATATGAGTCAGGGGTTTTTTAAAATAATCAACCATACCCTTATAAATATATGCTGGAATGTTATCAGTTCGAGTCGTTTTCTTTGGTTTCAATTGCTTTATACTATTGTACACTTCTTTCTCAGATATACTAGATAAATTAAACAAACTAAATAAATTATCACAGCCTTTCTGAAAAAATTGACTAGAATCCTGTTTTTCAAAAACGGATTTAAAATAATGAGCAAAGGCATTAGCTATATCATGGGCATTTGAGTGAAGATTACCATCATATATCATATTTCCAGGCACTCCTCCAGGACTTGATTTGTTTTTAACAAAACTCCAGAATGATTTCGGGTCAGAGTTGATGTTATTTTGAACTGCGACTTTGTACTGGTTATATTCCACTATTGTTTGGCTTTTAATTTGCTTTCTTAAATCTTTGTAACTTGACATTACATAAATATTGGCTTTATTTTTTTGTATTAAATTGTGCATTCTATTCTTCAGTTTAATTTTGCGCCCCAAATCAATGGAGTACCATATAGGAAACTTTGGTTTAGTGACTGTCTCCCTAACCACATACTTTGGTATAGCTCTATCCATACAATCTCTCATAAAACAAATCAAGGCTAGTACTGGCATTAAGACATTTCAGCAAATCTGACCAATCAATATTCCTGATCAACTCATATAATAATAGAAAATTACCTCTAGAAAAGTTATATGAATAAGTTTTAGGTATACTACTTTCATCTATTTCCTGTTTGATATTTAATGAGAATAACAATGCAGGATGATATGGATCCTCAGGTACCAGGTGTTGGTCAGATCTGCCAACAGACAACACTACATCTGACATAACTAAATCTAAACATCTATTCATAAAATTATTCACAATATTAACTTGAGCTATATTATGCATATTTAGGAACTCTTGTACTAATAAACTTTTCTCATTATCACAGTTCAGTATAGGAATATTAAAATCACCAACTACTAAGAGGCTATAGTCCTCATTATACATCATTATGTCATCAATTCGATAATTCTCTACTTTAGAATTTGGTGGAAAATATACCACAGATATGTAAATAATAAAATTTCTTTTATACTTAACTTTAATTACTAGACATTCAACATCACAATTTGCAACATTGACAATTTCATAGGGAACATTCTTCTTGAGAGCTAGGATGATACCCCCACCAATGCCTGTATTTGAGTCACGATCTCTCCTAATGATAGAATACCTTGAATCAAAAAGTTCAGAATCATAAATAGACTCACACACCCAAGACTCAGAAATAGCAATCATTGTATAGTCCTCCAATAATAAATTTGTATAAAAAATCTCTGTTTTAGTTCTCAGTCCCCTCACATTTTGGTAATATACTGTAAACTCTGATGTTTGTTTTTTTAGTGTAGAGGAGCATTCGCTAGGGCATCTGGATGCGTCCTTTTCCTCATTAAAAAACGAGATACAATTGCACCACTAGACCAGATTTCTTTCCTCCAGGCACTATGAAAGTTATCCTTGTTTAATTGTGACTTTCATAGATGAATATAACATTGGATGCTCCGATATATGCTCTTCACATTTTACTTCGGGGAAATGTCGAGCAAGCATATTCTTTAGGTCCTCCGGCTTTGTACTTGGACTCAGCCTTGTCACATGCAGAGAAGTGTATTTAGGCACAGCCTGCACATATGAGTCTGTTTCATTACGACCAACAACATATCTTCTGTTGTTCCTACGTCGGACTCTTTGCCATCCTTTATCCAGATTCTCATCATTTTCATTCCCCAGATGCTGTAATTCAGTCATTTTATTACGAGCCTGGGCCTCCAAAACAGCATTGTTTACCATTCTATGGTCAATCAATGGTAACGCTACTTGTTGTTGATTGGAACAATCAAAAACAGCTGGAGCTAATCGATTCGACGCACGCAAGGTTGAAGCGCTGGTCGTCGATACCTTCGGTTTAGTTCCAGTCACAGGTTGCTCTGCACTTACCGATTCGGGTACATGTTTTGCTGCTCTAGAGCCGCTTTCCAGTGCCTAAATTGTTAGAGTATCATGCTCCTGAAGTGTGACGCTCTTGAACTGTTCGACATAAGCAGCACTGGAACGCTCTCCTCTTAACCCCCTACCATTTCGGATTTCAGGAGCATGAAACACTGGCAAAAGGGTTGGTGCACGAGGGGGCAGGGGATACCAGAAATGAGTAGCTCAAGTGTAGGACACTCTAAGCACTGGAATGCGCAAAGCAATTTTGGAGCACTCCTGAGCTGCTCAGGAGTAACTCAAATGGGTCACTGGAAAGCACCTTAGGTCTAGGTAGTTCATTATTGCTTGCACCGCTCGAACCACTAGAACCACTACCACTACTTTGACAGTTACTAGTAATGGCGGTAAAATTGGGATTTTGGGTTGTTTCCTAAAGAACTTGAATTACCGATTTTGTTTATTAATCTTTCCTCCATTGTTTCCATCCTCTCAAGCATAGTATTGAATTCAACTTGCAATGATTTCTTTTCGAGCTCCTTGATTTCTTCGTCTTTCTTGGCTATTGCTTCATAGACCGCTTTGTTTACCTCTTCGTCCCTCGCATTTCTACAACACGCTGGACATAAAACTAGATTTTTACTCGCACTTATTACATGTAAGCCAGTCATTCGCATTCCACATGACATGATACACTACTTTACACATATTACACTTAACACCAATTTTTTCAACATTACTCTTGCAGTATTTGCACTTTCTATTCTTAACGTCTAAAACGTCTTCTTCATTCGGCGCCATCTTGGGATTATTTGATTATTATTATATTTAAATTTAAAAGCTGCACAATTCAAGCTCGAGAGCTGTCTTGATAAAATTCTTCTAGGCTATAGTATGCCTTACCAGCAAGGAGGTCCACCACGGTCTTTCGAAATGGTTTATATGGCAAAGATCTACAGGTCACATTAAGATGGTTGTAAATCTTAATACTCTCGTACATTATAGAGCGCTTAGGTAGACTTTGGGATTGGAAGACGAATATTAGAACTCTGCCTGGTATTATAAGCATTCTGTCTATTATCCCAAGTGACACCACCTGAGTACTTCCGGTGTATTAAACAAACCGTTTCTAAAATAAACAAACACATTACAGTTAAAACCTTGAATTTAACAAATAATGGTCTGCAGTGATCCCTGTGATTCGCTCTGCACATATATCTAAGTGCTCTCTTTTGAATAACAAATATAGAGTTCAAAAGTTGCAGACTACAAAAGCCCCAAAACACAATGCCGTATCTTGGACGAGACTCGAGGAAAGAATGGTATACCATCTTCGCCGCTGAAGAACCAAGCTCCACAGATACCACCCTGATCGCGAAGCAACTTGATGCCAATCTCTTGCCAAGCTTAGTAATATGTTTCTCAAACTTCAGCTTCGTATCAATATAAAGACCAAGAAACTTGGTATCCGTTTTGCTTTCTATGTGCATCAGTGCCTCCATGTGGACCATTGCATCTACAATTATCACAAATAACGAAAAACATAACTTTTTTTTTAATTGAAGACGCGTCAAATCATTGTAATATGTAATTATCTGTCGGTGATAAATTTAAATCAATGCCAAATCAAGCTTTACATATCTCAGTGACAAAGCAATTAATTTAGGAACCAACTATATAAATACAATTGAAATAGAGAAGCTTTCAGAATTGATCCACCACAACGATTTTTTTTTATTTTGATTTGCTAATGGAATGTGAATACCCATGTACTTATGATCTTTTAGCATAATTTTGTATAGGGGCGAAAAGTTACTTCTTCTTATTCATACTAATTCGAGTAGAAAATACAATTCAGACAGACAGACTCCACTGAAAATGCTTTGCCAATGATTCTAGACTAGTTGAATAAACATAGCACTATCAATTCTAAAGCTTTATTTCTTTTTCAGAATCTGACAGCGAATCGGATGAAGATGACAATAGCGCCACCAATATATTTTATTCAGCCTACGGGAGTAAAATGAAACGCAACACAGCCAAATCCGTTATTGAACTTCAAAGATGTAATAGCCAAAGCGATTTTGTAATGTCTTTGGACATTTTCGAGGGAATGTTGAGCTTGAATCCTCCTGTTCGGGATGGTACAAGTAATGTAATTCCAGGTAAAAACTTAGAAAACAATTTTAAAAAAATATATATTTTCGTACATTTTTTTTTAGGTCAACAAGGAGAATTGTTACTTAATTTAAGTAACGCCAATGTGTTCATTGTCAGTGGGTATAAAGGAGATTCAGATTTAGGTTATGTTTGTGTTCAAGTGAACAATGCTCAATTACATCATTGTGGTGAGAATTTTTCACCTATTTTTATGAAAATAAATCCCATAATAATATTTCCTATACAGATATTCAATCAATACCAAGCACAAATTTGCCATTAAGAGATGTAGGTGCCATATTGGGACATCAGTTATTTCCTACACTGTACAAGTCCGAAGAAAAAACTTTGACCTGTTCAAAAAGTAGGGGCGGCGAAAGGGAAATGTTCACTGTCGCCTTGAAAATTCAAGCTAACCATGAAACGCATCATGTTAAAGTGAGAATTTTATCAAAAAAAATTGCTATTAGCTTTACAACTGAATTTTTCTCAAGGTTGTCACGGTATCTCTTGGCCTTAACCAGGCAACTTTACGGCACAAAATGGGCCGACAGCCCAACTCGTGGATCTCACATATTATTGACTTTTTCAACGCCAACGACTATCCTATACCTGGTTATGTTGCTAAGGACGTACTGACTGAACTCCATTTACATTTATGGGACTGTGCAATAGATTATAGGTGAGAAGCATTTGTTTAATAATAATTTTGTTTGTTATGCCTAAAAATATATTTTGTTTCCAGGCCTCTTCATATGCCTCTTAGATCAGTAATCACCATTGGAAGCTTTAGTATATCTTCGCATTTAACTGCTGTAGCAAATACCTCAACCTTAACATTAATGTTTGAGGATTGTGGATTGTTTTTAAGCGAAAAGGCCCCACCCAGGGATGGCATTGCTTCTAATGTTCGCGTAGATTTGCTAAAGGATTATATCAATGTTGTTGAAATTGCTTTGTTTGAAATAAGCATCAAAACGACAGATAAGGTAATAATTTTCAATGTTTTTAATTTAAATATTTCAAGTCTTAATTTATTAACAGCAAAGTGGCATAAATCCGCACATAGACCTGCGCACTTCGATAAACATGCTAAACATTAGGACTTGTTCGGACAGCGGTCGCGCCCTCTTCCAACTTTTGACTTACTACATAAACGACGGCGATTTGAATCCAGAGCCGCAACCTGAAGACAATCCTAGTTTGGGTTCGAATCATGCCATGGAAGAGGAGCTGCTCAGTTTAGAGCAACAGGAGGTTACTCTGAGCAAAAGTCAACAGGATCAAGTCAGCGAATTGTTGGAAGAAGCCTTGGAGGAAAGTCCAAAAAGTGATAAAGGTAATATAAATAGAGAACATTGATTTATGTTGCTACATCAGAATTAATATTGGATTTCAAGTTTTATCATTTTCACTGCACTAAAATTTTTAAAACAAACCAAATTTTCTCCTTTACAGTTGGCCCTTCCCAACTTCAGACTGGTGCCAAGCTGTTTTACTTCCCTGACGAAAAAGAGGCGCTAGATGATCCCCCCACTCACAACATTCCCCAAGTTACCGCAGATTTGGGTGACATAAACATTTACCATTTTGGCGGAAACGAAAACGAAATAGACGAAGAATTTTGTTTTGTCGGAGACGACGCCGTGTTTCCCAAAGATGGCGTGCCAGAGATTACATGGTTTAGTCAGGACGTTAAAATTGTGGAGAATCACATGTCCAAACCGAATGCAAAAAAAGACATATTGGCACCTCCGAAAGATTTTCCTACTCCAGTTACCCGGTACACCCTCTGTGACATGTCCGTAGTTTGGCAAATGTACGGAGGCAGCGATTTTAAGAAGAAAGAAGACCTCAATAAAAAGGAGGTTCGATTTGTAGACAAACAACTCGGCGATCGGGTGACCTTTTCCAACACAAAAAATAAAGTTACTTTAGGCCAGGAGGAAGGTAGCAGGACGAAAGGTCTGAGCTGGATACAGAGAGGTGGCGCTAACAGGGATCATTCGGTGTTGATGGAATTACAATTGAGTAAAGTATGGGAATTTATAATTTCCTAAAACAATTTTTTTATTATACTTTTTGCTCAATTCAGGTTAGATTTAGTTATGAACTGTACCCAGATACGGCGCGACAAGCTTCCAGACAAGTTTTGTCCATTAACGACGTAGAAATTCGGGATAGATTAGCCTCTAGCCAAATCAATAAGTTCCTTTATCAATTTTCTAGTCATTCGCTTCCAAAGCAGTCTCATTCGAACATGGTAAGTTTTGACTTGTAATTTTTTTCATTATTTAATATGTTTTAGATAATTCTCACTCCTTTTTCCTCCCTATCCTAGCAGGGGTGTGTACAAGTTCTGCTGCAACACACGGGTTTTGAAATGTATGGCTTTTTTTATTCAAAATAAAAGTTTCACTTTAGCTAGCAGCGATTTTAAATCGATATTCTGAGTCTGCAAACTTATAATATGAGCCCTCAAACCAGAACATTCCTGATAGATGAATGAGTTGGTTGAGGTGGTAACTGATAAGTCCCCAGATCTGAAATGATTTTTTTTAATAATCATGTATTCAAAAAAGTTTGCACATTGGTGAATTGTTGTTTGTAATATTTTTGCCAGGGTTTTTCTTATGACAGTCAGAGTAAAGTTTCTACGTTTTATATTACTTGTAGGTTGAGAATTAGCAGATTTTTTTTTTCCAATAGGAAATTAATTTGACAAAAGAAACAAAAAATGATGTTTGAGTTAATTATATTTGAAATTCAAACTTTTGATTGCCATATTGGCAGATTTGACTATAATAATTCCAAACTTGGTAACTTTTATTTTTATTTTAGGTCTTAATAAAAGCATTACACGCAAGACCAGATCCGAAACTCAAACGAGAAGAGTGTGACTTGAAAATTTCACTTTTACCAATCAGACTGAACATAGACCAAGATTCTCTGTTTTTCCTGATCAACTTTTTCAAAGAACTCAGTGGAGAGCGTGCAGTTAATCCTACCGAAGAAGCTCCCAAAGAATCCTCGATGCATTCGACTCCGACGCATCATCCACCAATCATGACAGTTTCTATTGACAATGAAGAAGAAATTAAGCAACAAGCAAAGCAGGTGGTCAACGAAAATCTTATATTATTGGAGAGTCGATATCATGTCGAACCTGAGGAGATTAGCGAGCCCACTGTTGTAACGGTGAATGATGATTCCCCAATATACTTTAGGTATGACTAGAAATATTGAGAATAAAAAGATAATTATTGCAATGAAAGTTAAAGTTTACAAGGTTTTTTTCACTAATCTATATTTGAGTTATTGATATGAAAAAGATGCTTATATTTTTAGACAAGTGGAATTCTTAAAAGATGTTCTCATTCGATTGGATTACGTTGGCAAAAGAGTGGACATGAGCCATGGCCCGATTCCTGGTGAGTTTACTTCAAATACCCAAAAATATTTGTCAAAAAAAAATCATATTATTTTTTCAGGACTACTAATGGGTTTGGGCTATTTAAATTGTTCAGAATTCAGACTGAAAAGGCTGGTTCACAGGCACGGATTATTGGGTTTCAATAAATTAGTCGGATATTTGCTGCAGGAATGGATAACGGACATTAAAAATAATCAGTTGTCTAATATTTTGGGTGGATTCGGGCCTATGAAGGCGGTTTTACAACTATGTAAGTAAAATGAGTTTTTGTATAGGTATTTAGTACTTTTTCCATGTTGAGATTTTAACATTTATTAATCATTTGGAATCGTCGAAACTCTATACTGTAGGTAAATGAATCATTGTGAAATTTGGAGTGTAAATATTTGAAAGAAGAGCAGCTGAAAAATTGAAAATAATAAATTTTCCTTGGCGGGATTGTGGAACTAGAGCTATTGTCAAAGTGGATTTTCGATATCTTTCTTAATTTGTAACGGAACAACTTGAGACCTTAGTATAAGACTGTCTAACTTTTTTCTAGATGCTGGAAAAGTTTCAAATTTCTATCTTTATTGGATTTTTAAATAAAAATTCAAATGTCTCATGCATGATGTTCTTATCTTTCAAACGCCTGCCACATTTGATTTATGATATCTTTTCTAATTTGTAACGGAGTAACTTAGGATCCTAGTATAAGACACACCTAACCTTCTATAAGACTGGGAAAGTTCGAAATTTTCGGATTTCGAAATAATAATTCAAATGTCTCAGGATGTTCTAATTTTTTAAACACTTCTCAAAGTTAATTTATAACATCTTTTCTACTTTGCAAAAAAGTAACTTGAGATCTTAGTATAAAACATATCTAACCTTCTTCTAGAGCTTGGAAAAGTTTCAAACTTTTATCTTTATCGGGTTTTGAAATAAAAACTCAAAGGTCTCACGATGTCCTTATCTTTTAAACGCTTGCCAAGGTTGATTTTCGATATCTTTTTCAATTTGTAATGTAGTAACTTCAGATCTTAGTATAAAACATGTGTAACCATTTTCTAGAGTTTGGAAAAGTTTCAAATTTTTATCTCTATCGGTTTTTGAAATACTAAATGTCTTTTGATATCCTTATCTTTTAAACGCTTGCCAAAGTTGATTTTTGACATCTTTTCTAATTTGTGACGGAGTAACTTGAGATTTTAGTATAAGGTATAAGACATGTCTAACCTCCTTCTAGAGCCTGGAAAAGTTTTAAATTTTTATCTCTAAGTATCTGATTTTGAAATAAAAATTCCAATGTCTCATGATGTCCCTATTGTTTAAACACTTATCAAAGTTGTCTTTTGATATCTTTTTTAATTTGTAATGGAGTAACTTGAGGTTTTAGTATAAAATACGCCTTACATTCTTCTAGAGCCTAGAAAAGTTTCAAATTTTTAATTCTATCGGATTTTCAAAATAATTATTCAAATGTCTCTTGATGTCCTTATCTTTTAGCCGCTTGCTAAAGTTGATTTGTGATATCTTTTCTAATTTTTAACGGAGTAACTTGAGATCTTAGTATAAGACATGCCTAACCTTTTACTAGAGGCTGGAAAAGTTTCAAGTTTTTATCTTTATTGAATTTTGAAATAAAAAATAATTTTTGGGTCTCTACTAGAATAAGATTCTCTGAGAATTTCAGACTCCTATCTATGATACAATAATAATTATGGATTCAATTTTTTTTTAAACATAAAATATACCTATTCGAAGTTATCTAGTTCCTACCTCAGGACAAAAAAGTTGAAATTCCATGTTGATATTTTGAATTTTGACTTTGAATGATCATTTGGGACCACCCAAATTCCATACTGTGAATAGTTGTGAAATTTGAAGCCGAAATGTTCGAAAAAAGACCAGCGGAAAAATTGAGAAATTATAAATTTTCCTCATCTTCCGACCATAAATCAGGATCAAATTCAACATTTGATTAACTGTGAAAATGCTGCACAAATGTGGTCAAGGTTAGTGGCAATACATGAACAAAAAACAGAGATTTCTAGAGAATTACTTTGACAGAAATTTTATGAGTATAAAATGCCTGAAAATTCTAAAATTGCTGATCATATTTCAGCTGTTGAGCTATTAGTTAGACAGCTAAAAGATGTGAAAGAAACAATAAGCACTAGTGCAATTTGCTCCAAAGTAATTAATAGTTTACCCTCTAAATTTAATGCTTTTCGCACAGCATGGGACTCTGTGTCAAGTAAGGAACAAACTTTCGAAAATCTAACAGCAAGATTGCTCAAAGAAGAGACTAGAATGACCAATGATGACTCTGAAGTGTCTCGGCTTGCTTTGGAGGTTAGGGCTTTACAAAGCAAATTGGATGCCACCAATAACAACCGAAAGCAAAATTCAAATATAAAAGATTTGAAGAAAAACAGCACCTGCAATTATTGTAAACGTAAAGGTCATTGGATACGTGAGTGTAGGAAAAGGATAGCTGATTCCAAAAACAATGCCAGAAAATCAGAAGATTCAGCCTCGACTTCAGCCTATATTTGTGACATTTCGTCTTTCTATCTATCTAGCTCTGATGTGAAGAAAGATGAGTGGATATGTGACTCCGGTGCAAGCATGCATATGACTGGCGAAAAAGGTTGGTTTATTAAAATAGAACCCTTAAATGAGGCTATGTTTGTAAGAATCGCAGATAATAAATTAATTCCTGCTGCTGGTAGAGGAATTATTGAAATACAAGCCTTTGTTGATGGTCAGTGGTACGATCGAACCATAAATAATGTTCTCTATATTCCAGAACTTAGCCACAGTTTGTTTTCAGGTGGAGTTATGACACATCGAAATTTTACCTACCACTCCTACAAAAATAATTGTGAATTCCGAGACACCGATGGGAAGGTGTCATGTATTGGAGAGAGTAGAGATAATTTATGGGTCATGAAGTTTAAAATCAAACCAAAGCTAGAATGCAATCTGGCTAATCAAAATTCATTGAAATTATGGCATAACCGCCTAGGCCATGTTAATTGCAATACAATCAAGAAAACAGCTGATGTAGTAAACAATCTCAATATTGATGATAAAGAAGAATTCTTTTGTGAAATGTGTGAATTTGGAAAACAAGCAAGAAAACCACATAGAAGCTTAGTCAGATGTATGTGGACCGATAAATATTTTGTCTCCAAGTGGTTCGAGATACTTTGTTTTATTCAAAGACGATTGCAGTGGCTATTGTACTGTTTATTTCCTGAAGTTCAAATCAGATGTTTTGAGCAAGTTTAGAGAATATAAAGCATTTGTGGAAAACCAAACTGGAAACAAAATCAAAATCTTGAGAAGCGACCAAGGCAAAGGTGAATACATCAATAAAGAATTTGAAGACTTCATAAAGACTAATGGTATATCACATGAATGTTCAGCACCATATACCCCTCAACAAAATGGTCGAAGCGAGAGGCAACTAAGAACCATTGTTGAAAGTGCCAGAACTATGATGATAAACAAGAATGTGTCACAGGAATTATGGTCAGAGGCAGTCAACACAGCTGTATATGTATTAAATAGAACAGCTTCAAGTCAAGTTGAAAATATGACACCATACGAAAAATGGTTTGGAAGAAAACCAGACATAAAACCAGTGGCGGCTCGTGACTATTGCAAGTGTGGAGGCTAATTACAGTATAGGTTTTCTTGAAATTCCATTAAGATTTCTATTTCAAAATTCCATATTTTTTTTTTAACTTTACTAAAATTCCTCAAAATTTTACCACTGAAATATCCTGGAATTCCACAAAATTTTCATAAAATTCTTTGGAATTTCATGTAATTTCTTAAAAATTTCTCGGAATTCACTAAAATTTTATGAGAATATCCACGTTCATAACCGAAATTTTTTCGAAAGTCCAATGAAACTTCAAGGAATTTTCAAAATTTAATTTATTTTCATGAGAATTTTTCGGAATTTCACTGAAATTCTCTTTTAATAGCCAGGAATTTCTGGGAATATTAATGAAGTTTCAAATAATTTCTTAAAAATTCATCGAAATATATTAAAATTTTATGTTATTACATGGTAATTTTCCGGAATATCACTGAAATTACATGTTTTTAGTTGGAAATTCCTCGGCATTACTAAAATTTAGTAAAAACTGAAATTTCATGTTAGGAATTTCGGTGTAATTTCATGTAAATATTTAAAATTCCTCCATGTAATTCATTTAGGATTTCGTGTAATTCGATCGGAATTTCACTGAAATTTCAAGTAATTCAAGAGGAATTAAAATTTAATGTGAATTCTATGGAAACTCCGCAAAAATTTCATATCTAATTCCTTTTTCAAAATAACATAATTATTCTACCGAAATTCCACTAAATTATGGATTTCTGAGATTTCAATAAATTTTTGGGGATTCTAAAGGATATTTGGGAATTTTAAAGGAAATATTTTTCAGAAATTTCAATGATAACCTATAAATCTAGATTTGATAAAAACATAAGACAACGCTGCTCATGATACAATGAACGTCAAAAAATTGAAATATCAAAGTAGGCCTTGGTTTTTTTTGACAGTCGATATAAAATGGCGTCTTTTTGTTTCAAAGATTACGATCCGAAGAGCCGAAGTATTAAAATCAGTTGACAATGAACGCGTTCGTATAATTCCGGCCCTCGGGCTCGTATAACCTCGGACCTTCGGGCTCATGATTAAAATAACTCCGGCCTGTCAGGCTCGTATAACTCCGGCCCTTCGGGTTCGCATGATTTCGGCCCTTCGGACTCGTATAACCTCGGCCCTTTGAGCTCATAAATGAGATAACTTCAGCCTTCCAAAATCGAGATTCGAAAAAAAAAACATATGACAACACTGCTTATAATACAACAAACGTCGTGTTTGACTATTTTTTACGTATTCGCCGTGGCTAAATCTATATACCCATGTGTTTTTTTTTTTTTTAATTTTGACAACTGTCAATATCAAAAATATTTACCTTTTCTTTTTTTCAAAAAACAAATGTCAAAAAACGATCCCCAGGCTCCGAAAACCCTAAATTAAGAAGTTTCATCGATATAGTCAAAAACCAATCGAACGTCTTTTTTGACACCGACGGCTAAATCTATATGCTCATTAAAATTTTGACAGCTGTCAATCTCAAAAAAAAGATTCTTTTGTTTTTTCGAAAAAACAAAGGTCGTTTTTTAGTGGGTTTTAGGGTGAGATTTATGTAGCAACAATTAGTACAAAAATTCAATTTC